TATTTAAAACGATGCACTGTTTTACGTAAAGTTGACTATCAACACATATCAAGATTCTCGGTGTCAGCAGAGGTATGCAGAAAAGATAACGATAATTACATAATTCTACACTGACAAATTACTCTTTCCTACTGCAATATAAATATGCTCACCGCGGAGATATTGTCAAACTCGTTATTCCTAATATGCTATTAAGGTATACAGTGTACTGTAACTCTTCGCATACAAACCTCATAACAATAAATTTTAACTGAATGCTTATACTTCTAATATTATCTCATTCGACCATCAAGTCTTTGACATATTCATCCATGCGATCATTGTTAGGCTAAAAAAACTAACCATACATCATTTTAGAAAACGGTTATACAGTATCATGGTCTGAAGAATTCACTGACAAATGATTTAGGCCAAAAAGAAAAAGTCATGCGTCAACAACAATTGATTTGTCAAGTGATCAAAAAATAATAAGGCTGAAATCCACATGACTGATTTTCTATTACCTAATCATTGTGGGTATCACAGCTCATAATATCAAAAATCACGTCATGGTCACACAGATACATATTAATTCAGGGACGCAAAAATATAACACACCAATGAATGTTGTATACTCACACATATATGACGATAATGAACGAACACATTTCCCTGGCTTTATCCTTTCATCGAGTGAGATGGAAAGAGGGCGTGTGCGAATAACGAGTATGAATCAAATGGTAGAACAACGAGATGGAGAGTATCCAATCAAAATATCATCCCCAACATTAAATTTCTTTTCTCCAGCAGATTACTATATATACCTTCCTTTCTCGAAACATAAATTTATATCGTTCAATTTTAAAGCCAATCTCGCATCTGCACGAACGATTTGAAAAATTGGGTAGGTGCAAAGATATCTTTATCCCCACATTAGCTTGGATTTAGAAGCATAATAAAGAATAATTGCGGTTATCAATCTCCTCCGTTGTTTTTCATCAGTAAATACTAAGTTTGATGAAATTGTCAGCGAGAAAAGAGAGTATTATAGTTAGAACAAGGCTAACCTTATTTGATGAGAATATGGTGGAGCGGTAAGAATTTTAAGTTGATTTGGATACTTAGTAACTAACAGCAGCGCATCTTCTATCGAAATTTTCTAGGATGTGGAGAAAGGTAATAATGAGCATTACAAGACAGAAATTCCAAGTTACTTATTATCCAAGACATGTAAGACGAGGCCATTCAATATTGACCAGCCCCGAAATTAAAGAAATTACGTAATCACTGCAAATAAATTTTGTTACGATTTCGTTGTAAAAATTGTTCAATCATATTAATATGTAAACAGTATAATTAAATTAGGTCAAAAATGACTGAAAATCTAGAAAAGGCTGACAATATTATCGTTGTCAAAATATAAAGTTGTCGACTCTAAGTAGAGCGTTGCAATTTTGACAACGTCCGTATTTGAACAAGTGAAAGGTTGGCAGTAAATGTATTATTTCTTATTACAGTCGCAAATAATTTTGTACGTAGTAATTGCAATGCTTGTTATACATGCATTGTATTATGTGCATATTTGATATCGTGAAAACGGGAAGACTTATAGGCTTTCAAACATATAATATGATGTGTTAATGGTAGACCGTATTAATAAAAATCGAAACAAGAAACATATAGCAATACACAGATATTATTTACAAATACGTAAACTGTTTATTAATTAACTATTGGTTTAATTGAGGGTGGACAGCCTATGTCACTAAATATATGCCGTAATGATATCTTATCTATATAGATCATCGGTTATTTCTCAAGAAAAAAATAGAAAATGAAAGAGATTACTAATTTGTTACATGATTGAAAGGCAACTGTCGAGAATCAGATATAGAGAGCTGATTCACTGCAAAACCGACTAATTTTGACAATGTTACATCACAACTCTGTTTCTATGTTAGGGATTTCAATCCATCAAAAACACTATGTGGTGTCGAATTTATCTCAGTGCCTTCTCGGGGAGGGGTGGGACATCTTTTTTCTTTCTTTACATCCATCCGTCATCATATTGCAATGCATTTATTACATACCGCAAGTTTTAGCATCTAGTTCGGATATTCGTTTTCCCAGCGCTAGTTGTTCGTAATCTCTCTATTACGTTATATTCTTTGTTGACAACTCGGACAGGTGTTGCAGAGCTCGTTTATTATCAAGTACATGTACTAGTATTTGCAGCATTGGAAAGTCGGCATTTTTGGGTGGTTTTATGTCAAAAAAAGATATTTGTAATTGCGTTTAAATTTCAGTACGAGATGTAGAGATTCAAAACCATACGTTCTGTATGTAATTTACTGGAAGAATACGTGTATCTGTTCATCTTTTTCTGACGAATGTCTTTTTGTCATCAATCGGACATTTCATAAGAAACTACAGTTACGCCTATTATTATGGCATGGCACACAAGCTGGATTAAGTTGTATTACAATGAAAAATACTAGTCTGGTTGCTCAAATACAGGAACTCATTCATCACTGCTTCAACAATTAATATCGCAAAATGCCCCCTCCTCTCTTTTTCACCCCTAAGTACTAATGATTTTTCTTCACACGACACACTCTTTCAATCCATTCCCCTCCTTATTCTTTATTTCACTTCTCAACTATCTCGAATGTAATATTAGATAACTGACGTTAAAACTAGGAAATAAAGTCTCATGCTATAGCGCAGACCTTGACATCCGAAGTAGACAAGATTCATCTTAATCTGGTCGTTTATGACTCAACTCCGAATTGGGCTAACATTCCGATTTGTGAGAACATTACCAATATTAGACACATTGTTTTGTTTTATTACCTCAATCATTGTTGCGATTACTATAATGAAAACCTAATGCAGTATTACGTTAAATTGTGATCATTATTGGTCTCCATTGCAGATCCTACTTTAACACTGTTCATATATCCATATAAGTCGCTCATAACTAAATCTTTTCACTTTCATTTGTGCTTTGGCTAATCTACCTTGCCTATTACGTTCGGTTATGCTAACCGTTTTCACGCAATTGAATACAAGCACTAAATCTTTTTATCGTGATTGCATTCGTCCTTCACGAAGTTTAACCTCCCTTGCGTATCAATAATTGTAAGAATATTTCGTAAGCAATAGATTAGATCCCTGAAAAAAGGTTGATCATATCGATAAGAATGTTTATTATAAACCGTCAATAATTTGTCTTGAATATTTTAATTACACTGCAAACAAGCAGATTAGAGGAAAAACTGTAGTTGTCTGCTAGTTTGGTGCATAATAACATGGAATAATATTAACAAAACTAAAATATGAACGGTTACTCTTTTACGCCTACATTACGTTATTCCTATGAAACTGCCAAGTTATTATCATCTACTTGCTCTTGCTTTTCTCCAGGCGATTAGTATATCCGGTCCTTACCAATAGCATATCGCCAACTTATTAGTTACTTGAAAACTGCTATTGTATTATAAACTTGTAAGGTAAAATTTTGTGTAAAAACTCTTAAGAAATTTCTTGTCATAAAAGGATAATAGTCGATCATTATATAAAATAGATCGGTGATCCATACAATAGCCTGAAAAACGGTTTATCATTATATTAAAATTGTATTATTATTATGCTCCCATGATAAAAGACGGATTAGAGTTATGAGTTAGTAAAATTGGCAAGAAAAAATAAACGAGAGAGGTTTTTTTTTTAGCTTATATTTTAAACTTATTATAGCAGAGCCACCATCAAGCATCTGCAATTAGGTCTAATAATTCAAGGCCAAGACTATTAATTAAACAAACTTTACTTGCATCAAGGAAATGGAATCTTGGATAGTTTGTTATGAAGTATATAGTGCTATCGCTTGCAGAATCGATAATCAACTTTTCGGCACCATTACTAATAATTGATCTATTTATTGCTCGCCATTTGGAAGTTTATATTGCCACACTTTCCTACATGTTGTGGTATTCACCCCGCATTTCTCACGCTATGATCTTGCTACTTACCACCTATTATTTTCTTGCGATCTTCTACAGTGATCGATCCAAATGACTCCTGTACATTTGTGTGACCATGAAGAAGCCAAGGCTGAAAGGAGTATGAATGCCATTATTAGTGCAAATATTGTACAGCATAGTCCTTTACAATACAATTTTACGGATGACGGTCCGTTTCCCAACTGTATCGGTTTAGTTTCATACAAGTCAAAAGTGTGCAAAACCATACGGCATTGATCTGACGCATGTATAACTAATTGCCTCTAAAGCATATTACTAAGTCCAATATTGCGTGCGTGTGAATCAGGATAAACATAATAATCCAGCTCACCTCTTTGAAAATATAGTTTTCTCTATAGCTAATGCACAATATGAAATACAATATCGATATGTCATATATGCACGACATAAACTCCTCCAAAAATTAATTCGCTACGCACTTATGTTTTAATTAATTCGCTCACTCTCTCTGCTCGAAGTGATTATCGTGAATGTAAAACATTTGGTTCGGTTTAACTGTTTCCACGCAAGCGAATACCCAATCGTAGAACTTTAATATTTACTTATTTAGACTTATCCCATATGGAAACGACAGACCAACACTGATAACGAATCAACTTCAAGAACCAGACAAATAAATGGTAAGTAACTAACCACAATAAGACATGTTAGTTGATACAGCGAAATGCTTTAAATTTTATCCAACAGAAATAGCATACTTACCTTCCGATTTATCTTAGCACGTGGTCCAGTGAATATCTACTCCAACACATTAATAAATACGACTATCTCTCATTCCGGTCGCAATTTACAATATATTTATTTTTTTTCCATGAAGAGAGACGATTACACGTTCTTTAATATCTTATAACAATACAATTGTTATACCTCTATCTACCCAACAGCGCTTTACCAAATTATCTAACTACCGAAATGAGCACCCCAACGATTCAGTTGTTGTGCCTTATCGATATTATATCTATTATAGTATCCATATACATGGCAATAGTATTCTACAGAGCAAAACGAAATCCAATGATGTTTTATTTTACACTGGGCGTCATTCTCCTAAACGCGCTGGCGCTACTGGGCCTTCCATATGATTTTAATTGGCACAAAGCACCGTTGGCATTGTGTTATTTTCAAGCAATAGGGGTAAGTCTTTTGAATTGAGTAATAGAATAAATGCTCATTAATTCGTATTAATTACTAGAATATATTTATTAGGCGCAATTCGGAGCCCTTGTAACAGGAATCTGCGCATTCAATTTCATAATCCAAACATACCGTCTTCTTGTCCTTCGTAAACAATCCGAGATTGCAGATTCACGATTGATTTCTTATTACTACGGATCGATGATTGTCTATCCAATTATCGGCACGATATTGGTAACTTTTGTGGCTATCAAGACAAACGCTGTGGGAGTGAGAGACCTTAAATGGTAAGCGATCAATGTAAATTACGAAAGCCAATGGATTAAAGTATGAGTCTAGAAGCAATTGAGCAATTTTGTCCCTTTCTAACACTATCATAAAGTATTAATTTGGCCAAACTAATCTCGTTTTTTTTTCCTCCCAGCGACATAGTTAGTCCAATCTGGGTTCGCCTATTTGGTTACAATGGCATCAATCTCTTCATATCTATACCGGGCACATATTTCTCCACTCGTGCAACGTGGGCAGTAATTCGTCATTTAGATCAATTCAAAACAAACACGTCTTCTATTCAAAGCCATACACCCATGATAGAATCTAGGAATGCTGGCGGAGTCATACATGATGATGGTGAAACTCCTGTCGTGCAGGAAAGGCCTAACTTCGTAGCACCGGTTATCAATTCTCCTACGAATAAAGCATACAACATTACGCGATCTGCTGCTATTCGCATGGTTTTCTTTACAACTGCCTATCTTCTCACGAATATTGTTGCATCCATAGAGACTATTCTCTTTGCATTGGCAGGAAAATCTTTAGACCCACATCCCGGCGGATCTGACATAACTTTAGTATCACTCGGAATTGCATTGTTTTTGATATTTGGAACTGCTGGTGATGTTAGAAAGTGGACTCTCCAAAAGCTAAAAAACTTACTTCAAATGCTAGAAAACTTATTTCAAAAGCTAAAAAACTTATTTCAAAAGCTAAAAAACTTATTTAGGAGAACAGATCCCGAGGGAAGGGGGGTTCATGCTATGTAAAATGTATAGATAAATGATAACTTGATAAAAAAAACAACAACCAATATTTATTGTAACTGGACATCCACATGTAAAAAACGAAAACTGTTTCCTTAAAGTTAGAATTATAATAAATGTAACCTCAACATTAGTACTGCGTAACAGAGTGGAGGGGGTTTATACTATAATGATCTAAATAGCCTGCCCGCCTGTGTTCAATGAAGACTAAAGTAATATTTGTGATAAACAATATAAATGAAGGAAGGGCATTTGCCTTATTGTCAAAATAACAAATCGATATTGGATAATGCACAGACGTTATAATATATTTTCTCTTAAATCTGGTTGTTCGAGTAGATTGACAGAGAAAAGAATTTAGGGAAGGGAGGTTCGGTTTCGCGTTTGAATTTTGTTTTAAATCTGATTTAGCTTAATTTAAGCGAAGTACTGTTACACTAACGATAGCATTCACCAAAGATTAAAAATAGTTTTTTTTTATACACCATTTGCTGAACGAACAGATTGTTAAAGATATTTAATTAAACTTTCACTTAAAAGATTATTAAGTTGCGCACTACAATTATTATTGGTTCTACTGGAAATTAGCGTTGTCAACTGCATCGTGTTACCATGTATTCGAAACCTGGGCTCTCTCCATTTGGATTACGTAGCCGATCAAAGTAACATATCACAGGTACACGGTGTAATTTGTAGTCATTGAAGATTATCTTTGCGGGGTGGAAAAGTGCTATCCAGGTCTGTCTCAAATTATAGAAATGGGCAATGCAAACTTGAAGAAGGACCATACCGTCCATGTGCTCTATTTATTCCGTTGCCATTATCGGTATCACAGTCCTTTTAATTGTATGATCGTCATAAAAATATACCAAGGCACGACTATACTGTAACTACCTTGTAATGCAAACAGGAACAAAATTGCTTAGTCTCCGAATGCTACAATCTAGTTTCTCTGCTATTTGGCAACTTTATACAGTCCCACACACAATTATACTTTCCCAATTTAATGTAACACAATATAGACGCCTGTTCTACAAAACTTAACCTTTCTATTGGTGCGACTAGGTTTTGAATAATCAGTAACTTGGTCAAAACGAGTTTTTAAATAATTAGTAAGCCTTAGTCGAAACATAGTAATTAGTAGATGACATGTTCAAACCTCAATACATTTACGGTTCTAGACTGTTTCAATTATTCGATTGGACATATTAATTTCAAATTAAATTCTTTAATAGTACATGCCGCCCAATCACTGTTTTGACTATTTCTACGCCTAACATATTTATACAAGTTTATATTGTATTGTAACACATCCCGCACATGTCAATCATAATATCCCCGCAATATACCAAAACTGCATAATTAGTTAAGTGATCTGCTTCGGGTGTAACGTTGTCCGAAACTTAGAGAGGGGTAATTATAATACTACGATTTAAAGAGACTAAACCGTTCCTATAAACAATGTATGGGGCGTGTGTGCTAGTCGAACCCGGTTTACGTCCACAAATCGCACATCCTAAATTAAATATCGATTTTGGAAGATACAAGCTTTTGATAGGATAAAATCTTCGGAGTTATTCTTAGAATAAGTCACATCACACTACTACTATCTCTGTTTTAACTCCCACCCCGATTATTCCTCTGAAACAGGCAAGCTATCTCACAGTATCGCTGCATTGACCAAAATCAGTAACGCTGATCGGTAAGTAAACCCCGTAACATATGAATTTATTATATGTCTTAATAAGAACATCTTGTATTTGCATCAAACAACACAATAAATAGAACCATTTCTCATTCAATTTGTATTCACAACATACTTGAATAACTTACAATTTCATATCGACATTGTAAATATAGATAGAGCAGCTTGCTATCAAATTTCTTCTCACATCACAAATGGCAAACCCAGTGATTACCTTGTTATTCTCAATGGATTTTATATCCCTCATATTGGCCATATACATGGCGATAATATTCTACAAGGCAAAACCAAATCCAATGATGTTTTACTTTTCGCTGAGCGCTGCGGTGTTAAATGTGTTAGCGCTGCTGGGATTTGCATATAATTTTGATTGGCACAGGGCACCGTTGGAAATGTGTTATTTCCAGGCAATAGGGGTGAGTTCTTGGAAGCAGCGTACTCGATTTTCACAATGTTAAATTCTGCAAACATACTAACTACTGCAATAATTGACAGATACAATTTGCAACATTTTTGACAGGAATTTGTGCCTTTAACTTTATAATTCAAGTCTATCGTCTTCTTGTTCTTCGTGAACAAACCGAGATTACAAGCTCGAAATTGATATCTTACTACAACGGTCTTCTGATTGCATATCCGATTATAGGGACTGCATTGGTAACAGTTGCAGCAGTAAAGACAAATGCTATAGGTGTTAGAGATTTCAAATGGTGAGTGCGATTTATTAAGATAAGGGTTACTCAGATTAAATCTTTTTTGTCGTCGCATCATTGACATTAACGAGAAAATTTTACTATATCTAATACTTGCATTACACTGTTTGCATATTTAATTAATATTATTTACGTCTGTTATTCAATAACGCCAGCGACGTAATCACTCCAATCTGGGTTCGTATGTTAGGTTACAACGGCATCAACCTTCTCATATCCATCCCAGGCACTTACTTCTCAGCACACTCAACCATAACGGTAATTCGTTATCTGGATCAATTTAAAACAAGCAGTACCGTTACCCAAGGTCACGCGCCAATGATAGAATCTAAAAATATTGCCAAAGTTGCAACCGACGATAGTAAATCTTCTCTTCCACGCACACCGGGTAGTAGAACCCATCCAAATAAGCAATACAACATCAAACGAGCTGCTGCTATTCGGATGGTATTTTTCACAGTTGTTTACCTCATTACGAATATTAGTGCTTCGATCGAGACTATTGTCTTTGTTATAGCCGGTAAACCGTTAGATCCGCATCCTGGTGGATCTGACATAGTATGTGTATCGCTCGGAATTATGCTATTCTTAATTTTTGGAACTGCAGACGATGTTAGAAAATGGACTGTTGAGAAGCTAAAAGAACTTAAGCCAAGTAGTAGTAGTCGGAGTTTTAGTTTTTGACGGACAATTACATTAGTGAATGCGATTTGTAACGAAAAAAAAAATATTGTATGTATGGATATATTTACATGTAAAAAACAATTGCTAGCTAACATTATTATATATAAATTTGCATCAAATTTACAAATTCAACAGCTATAAAACTTTTTTTTAAACGAACAGAGTTTTTTTTAGCTAAACCGTCAAACGTTAGCATATCACATGCTGTAAGACTACCGCATTTCTTAGAAATGTATTGTTTGATGTTGATAGTTATTTATCGATTAAGGAATTATGCTGTTGATAGTTGGTAGTATACAGTGAGTTTAAAAAAAAAGGTTTAGAATCAGTTGAGTTGTAATATTGAAAGTTATTTCAGCTGTTTGCTGATTCGAGTATCTTTAAGTGTATGTTGTACCTCAGTTGGGACCTGTTCAGTTCTGGACTGAGTGACTGGGTTCTGAACTGAGACAGGTCTCAAACTCAGACATAACAAACACATTAGTTAAATGACAACAAAATAATAGTAACAATGGATATGTGATGTCTCTGATAACAAATTTTCTACCAATTACTATTCATACATAGGCATATTGATTCCGGAATATCTTAATTGTTTATGACATATTTACATGATGGTTTCTTTATTCCAACATTCAGAGTACTATAATCGATTTATTTAATTAATGCCAGCATCTATTAGTGGGTGGATAGTTAGTGAAACGATAGTAGGTATATAAGCGACGATAATTTTGCTAGCTGACATCATCTATTATTAGCTTATCAATTATATAATAAACGATATACGATATTGGACATTAATTATCTCTGACTACTTCAGCAATTCTTCCATCAATTCTCGTAATTGACAAGCACGATTGTTAATTATTATTAGCCATGTCTTGATCGAAGAGCTAAATCTCAAGGCCAATTATTGAACGCTCTCTCGCAGTGGTTGGCTCGACACTGGAAAAGGAAGGCCATGGAAACCATTCACTTGATACAATGGGGGCTGATTTGACCTCCACATGAGCATTACTGTAATACAACAGAATCTCAGATAACCTGACGATTAAGTATACAGAAACTATAGACTAATTTGTATTTGTCAACTATTAAATTATTTCTTCATACTTTAATGCACGCCCTTGGAAATGAGTTGGAGCGTGCATTTTGGGAGGGTTGGATTATGCTTCTGCTTTTCATCCCAGACGCATGTGATTCCCCAAAAACTTCATACGAATCCAACGATCACCACAAGTGAAATACTTCCATAAATACTTAGCGATCATCATGAAGTATGGAGGCCGTTTATATATCATTTACTGAAGCAGAAGCATGAGTTAGTTTTTTCCACGCCTGATGCATATCTAATATAGTCATTTTGGCGCAAAAAAGTGTCGGTCCCGTGATTCCTGCCTACTGTTTATTGGTGGAAAAACTTTCGGACTGTCCTATGTTTACATCTTACGGATATGGATATTAGCGTAACCCCAGAATCAGTCTTTTTACAAATGAGTCGTATAACTTTTTGAGCTAAAGTCCATTTACTATGTACTTACAAAAGTTAAATGTCTGTTTATTTTATCATCATAGTAATTTCATGGTAATATCACTATACTACTCGTTTGCTTATTGACTAAAACATAACTATCTTGCTTCCTCCCCAGACACGGTCACACCTATCGCGAGGAACTTTTATTCACAACGAGGTGCTCGCTAAAGCCCAGTTTAAGCTGTTTTTATGACACGGTCACACTTTTCTAGATCATAAACTTTCCGATCCTAATATTATTTTACATAGTGACGACTTGTCACATAAAAAGCAAAATTCGTTCTATTCGTTTGCATCACAATGATCCATCATGAATCAACACACACTGCTGTACAGCTAGTTATTCTTTGGAGCGAATACTTCGTCTTGTAGCAGATATCAGTTTGTTTACATTTGTAAAAGACCCCAATCCAAATAAAGAAACCTCCTCCTTGATTCTGAGGCGCTAATACCCATATCCGTAAGATGTAAACATAGGACAGTCCGAAAGGTTTTCCACCAATAAACAATAGGCAGGAATCACGGGACCGACACTTTTTTGCGCCATTAATTAAAAACTTTATGTTATCTGTTGTGATTGGAATTTCAAAATTTTGTCAAGTGTTCAATAAATCTATTACGTAATTTTAAATATGCGGTAAATGACATAGCTATTACATATTATAATCCCTTAACTCGGTTAAGCATTACGTAAATTTATAACATTGTCATCAAAACTGAAATCTTACATAAAGCTTGAAAGCTAAAAGGTACTAAGAAAACTAAAACGATGTGCGTACTATGATTTCACATTCGAGTTTTATTCAACGAAAATTAAATAATGTTTGACGCAGTTAACTTACAAAATTGTGTTGTCATTTCAACCGAAGTTTTGATTGAAATATTACGAGCTGCTTGAATTAAGGTAAGCCTATTGTGACGACAACCATTCGTTTTTTTGTTTGTTTTTTTTTCACCTACACCCAAAGCTAAAACTTCGGAAAAAAAAAAGAAAGCCGCAACAAAATTTCAATGCCTACTCTATATTTTTACTTTCAATAGTATTATTTAAATAGCTTTACTCTTTCAAAAAAAAAAAAAAAAGATCCAACGAACAGATAAATGCAGAATGGTCCCGCTTATTGTTGCCTTTCAAGATAATATTCAGATAACAAGATTCACATACTTTATCTCCGACGCGAATAAATTTTCTATTGAAGATGCGTTGCAGTTAGAAACGTTTATGTATTGCATGGAAAATTCGTTATTTTCGTTTTTCTGATAGCACGATTTATAGGAAAGACCATATTCTTTCTCCGCTACGACAATGGGAATTTTGTGTAAGTGCGTGAGTAATAGAATACAATTTACTTACGTATCAAACAAACATAAAATATAATTAAATTACCCAACATTATCTAAATTAGCTTTGCAAATATTTACTATGTGCTGACGATACAAAGTTTTACTTGTCAGTAATAACAAAAATAATACCACCGACAACAAGCATGCACGATTTCTATTCTCAAATATTAACGTCCACGTACAGAATATTGTCCCTGTCTCCTGGACACTACAATACGACTTCTTCCGTCATCGCACCTGACAACCAAACACGCGACTGCGGAAAAATGCATATTCAATTTCAAAAACAATATGAATACCAACATTTGTGTATATGGCATCTATTAGCCCTCTTTTTGACACAATCAACAAGCCGATGCAAATTTCTATCAAATTTTGCAGGAAACTAGACTTGACAATCTCTCAAAACATGTCCAAAAGCTGCGCATATAAACCTTGTCGCTTATTAACAATGCTTTACCTTGAGTAACGATAAATGTATGATATCTGATGTTATAGACTTTATAAACGGCATTTAACAAAATCCCGAAACCGTACAATCGGTACTTAAACTCAAAAAACCAAGCTACCATTATCCGTACTATTCAACATATCCAACATATCCAACAAGGATCTAGACAAGATATTTAAACAACTCTTAACAGAACAAGGTTTTTGTAATGACCTATCAAAATTATTGTATGCCAAATCAGAATTATAGCATTCTACTTCAGTCTTGTCTTACAATTATGTCAAGTTCTTGGACATGTGTGCACACTAATACTACAGTATTTATCTAACTGGACAAGAGACACACTCATTGATGAGTGTTTGTAAGCTAAAGCGGAGCAATTTTCGTAATTGCAAGAATCAGGTCACGTTCTAAATTCTCGTAAAACGGCAACAAATAATAGTGTTACAATATTTGTTGATACCGCAAAGCCTGGAGAAAATATGTTGTCACTCAATGATATGGTAGTGTTTTGTAACGTGAATAGGTGGTGTGCTTTTGCATCAACAACGGATATCGCATTCTGTACACAGAATACTACTTGAATTTATGTCCACTCGACAAGCGCTTGCTTGCCTCTATGTTTCTGCCCCAATATCAACGCACTGCATAAAACTGCTTTTATTAGACCCTGATGTAATAAAAGAGTGTGTGAAAGGCTTCAAAGTGCTGTGAGAGCAGCTACAACCGGCCAACTTCTTTTTAATCAAGTGTGGCATGATTATCGACGAAGTCGAGCGGACCTACAATGTTATAATGAAAAAAGATTAAATTACAAAAAGCACCGCCGATATGAATCCTTCATTAATAAAATATACCACTTACTCGAAAACAAGATCCATCATTATTGCTACTATCACTGCAATTACTGAGCCAATTATCATTCACTCATTGACAATGATAAGAGTGCTATTTCATGGGTTGAATAAATTGCACGTCCAAAGACACGCGGTTTTTGGATTGGCATTTTCTTTTATTTTGATAACGAGAATAAACACAATAATTTTCGAGCAGATTTTGCATCAAAAATCTACATTTAAATAGACCGTAATATCTCGGCTGTTCAAATTTCCAAATTAAGCACATAGAAACTATCCAGCAACTGGAAACCATTAGTCAAGGCTTGTTTCAGAATTTTGCTCAACGTTTTTTTTCCTCAGCCTGTTTTGATACGCTTAAAAGAGAGTTATTCGGTGAGGTGTCAACAGATTATGTGCCCCAAAAAATCATTAAAGACTTTTCCCCTCCAGAATATACGAATTGCATTTTAAATGATAGATCGTATATTTTGATTCAACAACATATTACCGTTTTATACTAATCAAAACAATTTTATTGATGCCATGATCCACACAAAAGATTCACTTACATCCATTCCGGACAGCTAGAAAGTATGTAAGAGGTCTCAAACAAACAAACATTTGGGTACGGATTTGTAATTAAACTGCATGACATTGTTCAGTTTTTAAACAGATAAGAAACACACAGCATATGACAACATTTGCACACACAACTTTTAGAACAATGACTGTGGCAACAACAGTATTTCTAAAGTGCGAATCAATAAAAAACTGCTCTGGTTGGCATTATTCCCGTACCGTATTACTTTGAATTTCCATACATCACATATTGTATAGTGGCGACATGACAACATTGTTAGTGACTAGCATTAAAATATAGAGATTGACTGTAACGACTTATTAATAATTTGATAAAGTTAATGCTGCCGCACAAAAAATGATTTAAAAAGGCCTTATACTGTAATGGTTTTTATAAACTTTCCTAATTGGACATTCTTAGAATTTGAAATGCAAACACCAATATCTACAATATTGGTAATGTACAATCTAGCTACATCGATAGATACAGTATTTCAGTTATTGGTACTGCTAAATTAGAACAAATAAATTAAAAGATCTAAAAAAAGAATGGACGTCGTGAGATTTAATAATAAAACTATGTTGGCTAATAAAACATAAATCTGCTGAAACTATAGATAAGAATTACATAAATCTTACAGCTGTACATATAAGAAGAAAAGAATAGAAAAGAATTTGAGAGGTAGCATTGTTAAGTGAATGACTCCAACTCCAATGTAACGCTATTGATCATCAATCAACATACATGTTTGATTATACAAGAAAAAAAAAGTTTGATTATTTTCTACTTAACCCCCAAATTTATTTACACTATACAAGCGGCTCTCGATATAAGAGAGTGATCGGGGCCTAATAGGAAAAATTTGTGTTACTCTTATATCGAGAGAGGCTTTCTTATATAGCGAAAATTTTTCATAGTAAAAATCGGTACCAGCCAAAAACCTTTCTTATAGGTTATCTTTATTATATCGAAGGGTTCTTATATCGAGAGCCAACTTGTAGTAACTATAAAATTTTTCCATTAACAAATATTTAGTATCGTGCATTAATTTAATTTATACAAATCGTTAACGTAATTCTCAAATTTGGAAAATATCAGTATAAATTTAAACTTAGTCTCATAACGCAAATAACACAGTACTATGATCACAAATTTATCATTACTATTATTACTACACTGTATTATTGCCAATAAATAATGTAGAAATAATGACAGTACTTTATAAGCATTGATTCTGACACGAACTACAAAAAAGTCATTAACATTGCACCAAACAAAACAAAACGTAACACAAAGAACGCCAATTTGCAAACGAATAACAAAAGAAAAAAAGCTTATACCCACTAGAATTGCAACATCCCCCAACACTTCAGATATCAAATCCGACCACACAGTCGAACGTAGTAAATAATAACAATAACATTTTCATTACATTCTCAACAACCCAACCAGAATTTAAATTAAAAACTAACTTACCCATGCCACGCATGTCAGACTCCAACAAGAAGCAAGAGTTGTGTTTCTTAATAACTCTTTAATTGCAATTGGCATGCAACGGTATAATTAATGTAAAGCAAGTCCAGAAAAAAATAACGAAAGATCAATTTTCTTTGTAAATTAGAAAAGATGATTGTAATTTTTTTTTTTTTTTTTTTTTTTTTTTTGCAATTAATTGTTTCAATTTTTGGGTATTGATTAAAAAAAAATAGAAGAGGGGATGAATTTAAAATTACTGTTTATGATATATTAATAGATGTGAAGTGTTTTTGGTTTTTTTTTTTTTTTTTGCAGTTTTGTATTTGTTATCGGAAGAGTTGATTAACATATCAGTTCGTATCAGTGGTATAAATTTAAAATTAAATTTATGTGAAGATCGATTATTAATATTTTAAAATTTACAATTTTGGGAATTGTTATTTGTTAATTGTTAATCGGAAAAGTTAACTATTGAGATGTTTGATTAAAACCATTATTAACATCGACGAAATTGTATTTAATTTAATAATAAAAATATTTATCTTTAGTCGGACGACTTTATATATTCATAAATAACAGAAGCAAATCCGAAGTATTTCTATACTTCTTACCAATATGTTTATAATTGTTCTGGCGGTAGCCCAATTCAAAAATCGGGCTGGCCCAGTTCATTTTATTTCGCTATTATTACATAAACAATGTTAATTAGATGTCGCTTATTGGTTGTGATATTAGACAATGTGCCTATAATCGAACCTTTGAGATGATTCATGTGAAAAATAAACAATTCCAATTTGGGCAATACCCCTTTTCAAATTGATGTTATTGAATAACCTATTTTTGGCGATGATTTTTCAAACAATGATCGGCTTTCGCTAAGTATCTTGAAGTGAACATTAAGCAAACTACTGTAGTTGCTTTAGGTCGCCCTAACAGATTTGGAAATTGAAAATGTTTGGGATGATGGTGCTCATTAGCTATTGCCAAATAAAGCATTAGTTAGGGTAAACAGCAGCGTGAATTCATTCGCTCGATTTACCACGTTGAGTGAGGAATATGCTAGATTGGAGTGCTTTATATTCGATATTAATATGATGCGATCTGATGTTAATATTAATAATATTATTATAATTGTTAAAGCTTATCTATGCATTCAAATCAAATTTGAGGCATTGTCTATATTTTTTCATGGGTGTTTGTAATCGAGCCTTTGATTTATTACGTCAGGCAGGTGATTGATTCATGTGAAAAATAAACAATTCCAACTTCAGTGATGGAACCCCTTATTTGATACTTCTATTTTTGGCGGTGATCTTCAAACAACGATCAGCTTCGCAAAAAATCTCGCCAAGGAAAAGCTGAGTGGATATCGTTTATGACAATGAAACTTGAAGTGAACATTATATCACTTGGTTCACTTTAACGTTAGACCGTAAATTATAAAAAACAGTATTGATATTAAGTTCACTGACAAATATACTCGTTATTACGTTTGTTTATATATATTGGTATTTTTTTCTTGATGTAAGTGATTGTTCAGTGACTAAACTTTATCGGAGTATATAAAGAGTCGAACAACGGTGGGAGGTGGGCAGGGGGATATGCCTAGGCAGAGGTCAAGATATAGACCTAGGTATAGATTAGATAGAGATCGAGATCGAGATCGAGATTTAGACCTAAGTAAGATATATATGCCTATAACTATATATATAAAATTGCGAGAAGGTAATCAGCAAGAAATTAACCATAACTTTGAAATCCAAGTTAGTCTGGATAACAAAAATGGAATGGGAAAGAGGCACGAAGCAAACAATTAGGTTAGATGCAAGATCACGAGGCATGGCAAATCTGAAAAGGAGGTTAATGTAGTACAGATTAAATCATGCAGCGATAGTAGCCAATGAATTATGCTGAATTGATAAAGTTTTATTTATTCGAATATCTTTCCTATTAGCGGGAGTTCCGATTATCTGGGCATTATCGTTAAAACATTATAGGTTTGTGATAAAAGTTTACAAACCATATTAACAAGTATTTAGCACTGCGTGTTGTAGTCACCGCATGATTGAATAATAATTGATGTCGGATAGTTGCTACAAGCATTTTCAAAGAATTCGATTGCCAACTTGGAAAAATATGTAAACTAGTCTTATAGTTCGCTATAGACACAACGCAGTGAAGGCAAATACGTCAAAGAGTTTTAAAAAACTTGCATTGATATCAGTCCGTATATATTAGAAGTCTGCATCCACCTAAAGATTTTATTTTTACCTTGGGTATCGTTGCGAAAAACTAACTTTAACAAGCATGTAAACAACGTGTGACGGGGCCCTTGATCTAATGCACATTGGCCTTGCGTGATTGTGCCTAACTAAGCATATTGGGAACTGAAACATCTATCGCTTAAACTCTATAATCGAAGCATTTACTATATCGATAGACTTTATGTCTAATTAAGCAACTTACCCGATTGAGAATAAATTTGGTTAATAGGTTATTTGTAAGTAATGTTGTTAAAGTAGGAGGGAGAAAGTTGTACAGAATTTATGTTATTGCTATATTAATATAGTCAACGTTAAATTGCACAAATTTTGTTGTTGGGACTAAGAAAGCGCCATTCATAGTTCGAATCTTTTGGGTATTGTTACACTGTTCCAAGAGAGTTTATCATCAACATTATGAATGTTCTGTCAGAAAATGCATCTACAAGTGTCAACAAATATAGAAAGACAGTTTATCGTTATAACAGTTGGGTTATTATCACTGCTTATTATTGATTTGTATAGCCATATGATCAATATATGGGGCAAACATAAATCGAAAGATCGCCACCGTATTACACAAAAAATATCATTGTTTTTGATCTTACGTTTCAAATAGAGTCTCACCATATGTTTGCATGTTTGTGTAATCTGTGTCCTTCGTTGGTGTTAGACACTAAACCCGGAAAGTATGTGATATTATATACTTTACTTAATTAAAGTTAGAATTCGGATTACTACAACCACAATTTCCGTTCCAAGCCGTAGCACAAAGCATAATGTATAATTTAATGCCGACGGATTTATGTTACCCCTTCCCCAATATGTGAACGATCGAAACAGAATCCTGTTCGTCATTCTGCAACCGTTTACACATCGTTACCAAAAAGATTATTTCCCTTTTTAAAGGCACCACGAGATGTCCGAGATGTAGAACAGCCCGAAAATTGCGTAGCCATCAAGATTATGCCCAACTTATTTCGATTAGCTACATTTAAACTCACCATGTTAATAAATAGAACCGTTTCTCGTTTTTTTTGTCGCTGTCTATTCAAATCTTTTTTATATAACATTTTTAACGTTCATTATTGCTGGACGTTATCATTCTTTTTCTAAAATATTCAAATTTATAACTGTAAATAATATTTAAATTACACTCATTAATTAATAATTATATTCAACATTAATAACAATTTTTTATCACAACGCTATTTTTCTGCTTCGATGATCAGCGTATCAGTAGAAATCTTATGCATACTCAATATTATTTCCCTTATAGTTGCCATATACATGGCAACAATCTTTTTTATAGCCAAAAAAAATTTAATAAATTTCTACATCACCGTCATCTTTATATTTATGAATGCTTTGGTGCTCTTAGGATATGTCTATAATTTCGATTGGAATAGAGCACCATTGGCCATTTGCTATTTTCAGGCCTTTGCGGTAAGTTCTAGAAACTAATAGAAAAGCTTTACTATAATAGAACAAATAGTAAGCAAACCATCATATTTATTAAATATTTTCTTTACCTCTAGTCTCAATATACAGCCTTCGCAACAGGCGCTTGGGCACTGGTTTTCACAATCCAACTTTATCGTCTCCTTGTCCTCTGTAAACAGCATGAGATAACCGATTCACGTCTATATCGTCACTACTATGTATTTTTAACCGTTTATCCCATTGTTGGAACCATACTGGTATCTGTCATCGGTACTAAAGAAAGAGCTGTCAAAGCGAGAGATTTTCGTTGGTATGTACTTAAGTACGTTGATTGCTGTAGAGTTTGGTAACTACAAGTTAGCAACCGATTATTTACCTTCTCACTTTGTGAACATAAAACAGTGACATAGTCAATCCAATATGGGTTCGTCTAATAGGTTACAACGGTCCCAATCTGCTTCTAACTGTTCTGGGTACTTATTTCTGTGTTCATTCGACAATGGTAGTAATACGACAACTATATAAGGGCAAGTCACTTTTCCAACAGCATTCAATTCCCCTCGAAAATACGGAAGCAGCTGTAAGATTATCCAAAAGTCTGTCAAGTAGTTGCATCGTAAAAGATAATAATATAGGGGTGTTCGAATTGCAAAATTACACCCCTACAGCTCTCTCACCGACGTCCGCAAATATCAGCAACAATTCGAGTGATGACAATGAAACTGTTAATAACCTGCAGGGGATAAGTTCTTCCTTGACGTTGAATGTTGGTAGAGAGACTTTGGATAAAACACACAACATCACGCGTGTAGCTGTTATTCGTATGGTTGTCTTTACAATCGTTTATCTTCTAATGAATATTAGTGTTTCAGTTGAGACTGTTCTTTTTGCCATAGTTGATAAACCATTAGATCCCCATCTCAGTGGATCTGATGTAGTTCATTCATCGCTAGGCATCATTTTCTTTTTATTTTTTGGAACTGTGAGTAAACGATCTGGTGAAAAATTGAAAAAAATAACTAATTTTGATGAGCACGTTTAACTTAAGGCTTAGAAAATTAACAATAGGTAATAGTAGTACATAATTAATATTAATATCAACATTTAGTGAAGAAAAGTCTAATGCAGGACATTTACAGGACTTTCTTCACGTTGTAAAAAGTTTATTCTAATTACGTTTAATATATATAATACAATTAATGCAAATTCTAATTTCTATTAATAACTGAATGATTTGTTTGGACTATATTTATACTATACTTTCTGCGTTTGTTACTTTTTGTAGAGTATAGAAAGTGATTACTAAACTTAACGCTGCTGCATTCGTAATAAGCACTGCAAATTATACTGCATAAACTTCAGATCAAACTTGTTAAATAGTTGTAAACTTGTAATGCATATGAGTCAATTATAAACTGTGAAATTTAAATGTACATTGATTAAGAGTCCAAACCCATCAAACAGACACGTGACTTATATCTGAATAATATTATTGCTCTTGCAACGAAGACATCAATGTCTATATAGAGCATCGACACTGACTAGGGCATTAAAATTTGAACGCTGAGCTAATAAATTTGTTCCTTCTGTCGTATAGTTGGTCGCAGCAACAAAACCGACTTTATTGCTGGTCAAAGTCATGTTTAGCCAAACTTTGACAAACAAAATTTTGAGGTGACTTGCGCATAAAATGCTTGAAGCAATGTCTTGCCAGAAAAGCATTAGAAGAAGCAAGAACTAGAACTTGGGAGTTTCCAACGTAATTGTACCACTTGTAGTAATGAAATTATAGATGGCAATAACACATTTCAAGTTAATGTCGTATACAGGAATAACCGGCCACCGACCTCAGGGGGCTGCGTATTTCTAACTCTGTAAGCGGTCGCCATCATGAATCCTGGAGAGGGGACAGACAGGTAACAGCATGAAGAACGTATAATAGATGTTAAATTTCCATCTATAATTAAGATCAAATAATATCAGATATTAGGCTTTTATATCGAAGTTCTCCTAAGTCTTGATTAGTAGTACTATTACTGCGGCATGTGTTTACGCTTGGTAATCAATGACTAATGTATTGTGTAACGATTTTATAATAGGAGGATAACTAATAAAAAGCTTGTGTTATTCTTATTAATCGACAAGTTCCTTATGATTGGAGTGAGTGCACAGATAATTCGGATGATGAAATATATGCATTCTTGTACTCACGTTCAAGATAGAAAGCGATGCAGACAAATAAAATATTATGCACTGTAAGATTGCCTGATTGCACTTATACATAGTTATTGTGTGATTTTGCACCATATATAAACACCCCTTCTAAGTTGTTACCCTGAAATCTCTTGTTCGACTTTTACTATCCTCAATATCTTATCTGATCTCTACGGCGATGGGCAATCACATTGGCACAATGTTCGTACCAAGAAAGAAAAAGACTAAACCAAGTTTAGATAGCGATTCGAGCACAACATTTTCTACTACATCATCCACTTTGATCACCACCGATTCACTTTCAAAAGTACTCGATCCCGATGATAATGTCTTAATGGACAATTACAATATACAACATTATATTTTTAAACATACTTGGAAAGTCAGTAAAGAGGGAAAGGGAGAGAACGATACTATTGGGCAATGGAATATAGTAAGACATATTGTAGGCATGCATACACGGATAGATTAACCCTTATTATTGCTATTGATAATTACACATACAGGCAAACTTCTCAGCTCCAGTTCACGAAGCACTAGAATCAGGAATAAATGTTTTGGACATTGGGTAAGCCACATTGTCGAGTATTAAGTTGTCGTCTGTAAAAAAAAAGTCTCTAATAAATAACATATATCTACTTATGGCTTATAGTTGTGGTCCAGGTGAGCATACGAACATTCCACAATGCCCACCAACATCATCTGATCGTTTCCCCATTTTTTATTACATTAGGTACTTGGATACTTGATATGGCTACTATCTATCCAAAGTCCACTTTTTATGGACTCGACATATCACCAGCCTACCCCTCACAAATCAAACCGGTGAATGCGGAATTTATAACTGCTGATGCACTCAAGGGCCTCCCGTTCGGGGATGATTTTTTTGGCCTTATTTATTTAAGATTCTTGAACAAATCGTTCACCAAGGATGATTGGCAAAACAAGTTACTAGATGAGCTAATGAGAGTCACTAATATTGGTGGGTGGATTGAAACGATGGAAAGTGGACTAGTTCTGCTCAATCCAGCACCCAATCTGGAAAAAATATGGAACGCAGGTAAGCTTATAATAATGTTGTAGAGGGAAAGTTAAATAAGTAGAGTGGCCCTATTCTTGATCTGATCACACATACTATCAAGAAGTTTTACATATTAAATTGTTTCATTTCATTAGCCAGAGTGCTACTCGAAGAAAATGGAGTTTGGGTCGATATGGCCTATGGATTAGAAAATTTATTAAAATCACATCCACAATCTTTGAATGTCACATTTCAAGAAGCGTGGCATGCGGTCGGTGCATGGGGAGGCAAAGATGGAGAAATTTGGGCGACTCACATGATTCAGTCTGCTGCCATCACTGGTCAGTCGCTGTCACAGTATTTTGGAATGACACTCGAAGAATTCAAAAAATTTGTGACAGAACTCTCAGAGCAGCTGCACAGTTTCGATTACAACACCAGCTTTAGTACAATAAGGGTGTTTTGCCAGAAGACTCGCTAAAATGAATCACGTGTAGATTGAAATTAGTGTGCGTAACAAAATTATCGTGCATCTTAATAATAGAACCAGAAATGGTCAACAACATCTGGGTAGTTTATATACAATTATGTGAACTCCCAACTTTGTTCTAAAAGATATTTATAGCTATTTAACCGATATGACACAAGACATTCGAATAACACGCGGCTTGGAGTTAATACACGTACGCCTGTTATTTATGATCAGTATTTATCATACACGCTTTTATATTATAGTAACTCGCAAACATATTGGCGGTTTGTTGAACAAAAAAAATAAAGATTTTGGGCCGCCGCCAATAAAAGTAACTTTGAGAATTAAACTAGAGTGAAAAATAATTTTAGAGGCTTCGCCTCTTCAAGTAATCTGTAATCGTGAATGTCCCATACGTTTTTTACCACTGGTCCAATGTTCAAATAGAGATATATAGTTCACAA